AGACGAATTAAATTGAAATAGGTCAGTGAAGTAAAGATAAGATTGTAATTCACTTTTTAATGGAAGCAAAAGTAAGAAATTATCCAGCTAATTAGTGCAAAATAACAAGGGGCAAAACTATAGCTATGCAGTAACTTGATCCATTTTCTAGTTAATGATATGATTTAAAGTCTTTAATCAATTTGTTAATTTACTCACTGCTTCAAGCCACTGCCCAGCATCTGATAGAGATTTCCTATCCTTGGGCAAACCTTTGACTGCCTACAAACACAAAAATCAATTAAAATTGCTATTATAACCAAAAAAATTGCAGAAAGAACTTCGATCATTTATCAACTTGAGATTCACTATATAAACTGTCAACAAATTTTACTAAGAGACTTATAATTTTTTGTACTATAAGAACAATTATTAACAAATAGTCATTAAAATACGTATCATCACAAGATGCCTTTGGTAACTCGAAACTTTGGCCAATGATCAATTTCACAAATGAGTTCATGATTGTTCAAGAAGACATGCAAATTGTATATAATTAGCATAAGATATGCAAACATGCACTACAATAGACATGCATGCATGCACTATTATTCTAGCTTAATCAAGCAAATTGATTAAGAAACCAAAATTAAAGAAAACGCCAACTGAAAAAACCAGAAAAGGGAAAAGAAAAACAAATCCAGATTTTTTTATCAAAAAAAAAACCATCAAATTCCGCATATGATGAATTCCAACCAGCTAAACCTCTCTTTCTTTTGGATAGTTCTGTCTAAACAGTATGCAAAACATAAAGGAGGACTGAGATTGGAACCTGAACTATTAAAATCTCTAAAAACATCAACTGCAAATGCAAACTGCAGATTCGAACCTGAAATATAATGCAAATGCATGTTAAATAAAAATACTAAAGCAAATCATATGATTTTTTTCCTAGACAAAATCTTCTTGTTTGAAGCAAATCTTGTCCACATTAGGCCTGTGCTACCATATGCTGTGCTATAGGCACAATAAAAATCTCCTCTATATATGAATAAAGCAAATGACATCCCAAAAAAAGGTAGAACTAAATCTTGGTGAATACATCGACATAAATAAGTGTTTTTTACACCCTGCAATCTTCAAGGCAATAAAAAAACACTGATTCCTAAAGCTAAAATGTTTACCCAAGCAACAGTAATATGTCGAGCTATAAAGACACTAAGCCAAGTTAAATAATGACACTCTAGGAAAAAAAAAAACACAAGTCAAATAATGATCTAAACATTTTAATGATATTGCAAAAAAAAAAAATCAAATACTTAAAATTCATCCCAACTTCCCTAGATTCATAAACTCTGTATGTGTAGAACAAACTAACAAAAAAAGAAACTGAACTCCCGTTTAAAAGTACCAACAACCAGAGATCTTTAAAAAAAGACATCTCTGAAAAAATTACAACAATGATAGATAATTTTTGGATGGTAAAAAAAAAATTTATTGAAGAAAAAAGAAAGATCAAGGAGGGGAGATATTCAAAATAAAAAGAAAAAATAGCAGTAAGAGAAAATAGAGCGAAATACCTGAGCAAGAAGATGAAACCGCTACCATGCGAACCTGCAAATCCAAACAATAGAAGAAAAGACGGTAGCAACAAAATAGATGGTAAATAGATACTTTCATAAAAGGATAAAAAATAAAAATCTATACAGAGAAAGATTGTAAAAATAAAAATAAAAATGAAAGTTGAGGTAATTAAGAGAGAAAACCAAAGAGAAATACCCTTTAACTTGTAAGAAGAAGACCAACATGTGACCTCTATTTTGTCTTGCACTGTTATTTAATATTCAATTAAAGAAGAAAGAGAAGAAGTGAAAAACAGAGAAAGAGGAAGGAAGGGAGAAAGAACCTGAGAAGAAAGGAAGAAAGCGACGGAGCAAAAGCAAGAAACACAATGAGTGGCGCAAGCGAAGACTCTCAAGAACCCTATCTATCCAAGAAGGAGGTGAAATCTCAATTTTGTCCTCAACTCAATTCGCTCAATTAATTGGAGACGACCACCAATTGACCAATGACGAAGCGCCACGTCAGCAATTGAAACTCAATTGCAAACTTCCCCATTCCCCAATAGACTAGATATGTTAATGAAGCACTATCATCCAGGCATGGTGATATGTTTCTTTTCGTCATTCTTTCTCGCTTGACTTTTCTTGAATTTTTCCTTGTAGTTTTAGTTTCAAATTTTTGCTTCAAAGGAAAAAATATGAGCAACAATTAAGAACATATTACAATAATCAAAAGATCTAACTAACGGTCTATTTGATAACATAAAAAAGTGCTGAATCTGAATTTTTTCAGACATTCAGATGTTTTGAGTGTTTGATAAATGAAAATCTATTTGCTGAACTTGTTAACTAGTGTTGAAGTTGTGTGTATTTTTTTCAGCACAAGAATCCTAACTGAATGCTTAATTCTAATAAGAATTAATAGAATTACTTCAATTTCCTTATCTTATCTTCCAAATCTACCCTTGTTTGTTAATTATGTTTAAAATTCTTATCTAATTAAACAATCTAATATTCTCTATCTAATGATTTTCTATTTCATTTTTTTTCTTTTGAATGATTTTCACATCTTCTCCTTACTCCTCATATAATATATTTCATCTTTTATATTAATTTGATTTTAAAATATATATTATCATTTTCATACCTAACATTTTTAGCTAATTAAATCATAGGTTCTATTTCTTTTTTGGATGAAAAATATAATGGCAAATTTGTCAAATTTAACTTATCAAGCATTCAGTTATAAATGTTTATCAAACAGTATAAATAGGTTTAACATAAAAATTCAGACATTCATATATTTCTTTTCAGTGCTTAAAATTCAGCAAATTAATTATTTCAGTATTTAGATTTCAGAATTCAAATTTCAGAATTCAGATTCAGTTTTATTAAACGGAACCTAAGTGAACTGAAAAGCGGCAAATTGTAATGACTAAATTACCCAAAAATTGATAAACAAATTAAAAAAGACTTTTGTTAGTAAAGAAGAGAGAGAAAGGCCAAATCAGAAGTCCATTCTTTCACTATTTCAACCGGGAGCGTCAAATTTGGCTTCCAAAAAGCATAGACGTATTCCCTTTGACTAAAATGAATAAGATATTCAGGTTCCTGATTCTCTCTCTCTCTCTCTCGCTTTTTTTTTCTGCTAATCTTCTCGAACTATGACAATATAATTTGATAAGCTTTGAGGGTCGCTAAGACATATCTATAACACGTAATTATTACCAAAAATAGTGGCAGAGAGCTAATCCACATTCAAATATATCCTCACTTGCAGCTTAATTGATTAATTACTTTGTAATTAAACCTCTGCAACTTTTTGTTCCTAAATTTAATGTCAATTCAACTTTTTGTTGCTACTAGAAGTCAATAAGAAACAACAACATGAGTCAGCGACAGAAGAATTTTAAGAATTATTTATTATACACAAAAAAATACTTTTCAGTGGACGAAAATATCTAGTTGCAGGTCTCCTCTGCAAGACTGTAGTCAAACTGCTCTTTCACTCCGACAACGACGTCGCGGTACGGCTGTTTGTTTATAATTCAACAGGCATTACCCTCCGATGACATTCAACGAATTAAATATTTTTTGTCAAAATAAAAAAAAAATATAAATTATTAAAATCCAACAGGCATTATCCTCCCACAATTTCACTGAGTTCCCCCTGAACTTTAAAAAATTACATATACCTCTCTTTTCATTTAAAATAACAATTTTATCCTTAAATGTTTTAATAAAATTCTTTTATTTGGTATGCTTGCACTTAGAATGAGTTTTAAAATTATCTTTTCATTCTTTCTATAGAACTACCACTATTGCATCTAGGTTTCTATTATAACCAAATGTCGAACTAATGATTTCTTTGACGAGTTAATTTTATATGTAATCCAATGTTTTTGCTGATCTTTGTTTTCTATCTTTTAGTATTAAAATTAACAATAAATAAAAAAGAAATGGCCCAAAAACACTACTAAATTATGATAATCCCATTAGTCCAAAAATTTATAAATTCTAAATAAATTATTTTAACACTTTCTTTTTTATCTTATAAATCTAAATTCATAATAAAATACTGTAAAAGATATCATATCATAGTTATAAAATTATTATTATAGTCGTTTATCAAACAGTAGATATAGACATGAAAAATTTGGCATCTTTTCCTTATAATTATACTAAATAATCTTATAATTGTATATGAAAATAAATTAAGACTCATTTCACAAGGGCATTTTTGGGTATTCATTTAAAAAATTGTCCAAATTAATATTATTTTAAGATTTCGTTACTAAAACTATCAAATTAAAAAAGGTAAGTGTAATTTTTCAAACCTTAGGAGAGTTCAGTGAAATTGTTAGAAACGTCAGAAGAGGTTTTCGAAATTATCCCAAAGAACAATTTGGCAAACTAAAAAATTGGGTTAATTCCACATACCTCCCGTAAGGTTGTAGAACAAAAAGTTGTAGACAAGATTTATTTATGAAGGTAATTACTCAATCAGGCTACAAGTGAGGATACAATGTCAAGTTCCGGACGAGCTTTGAGGGTCGTTAAGACACTGTATCCTCACCTGTAACGACTTTTATGGAGCTTGATATATGTATGTAACATGTTGCCAAAAGTCACCGCAGTGAGATTTAAAAATCGTTATTACCAAAAATAGTGGCAGAGCTTTCCTAATATCGCAAGGTATCTTCCTCGCACGTGGCTTCAATCTGTAGCCGGCGTTGTACAAGATAGACTTTTTCGTGGGCCTCTGTAGCCGCCGTGACCAAGCGCTATTGGTCTTTACATTGACCATGCACTGCAGCCCATTTTTCCTTTTGACTCTTTATAAATTACAGGTGAAAATATTTATTGTTGCAATAACATAAAAGAAAAGGTAATATGTCTATCGCGTCCTTGTCAGAGCTTGTGCTCTCCATCTATTTAAGCAGCTCCAACTTCCAAGATTCCTTCATAGCAAACAACATCAATTGTAGCTACTCTCTTCTCATTTTTCCCCTACATTTCCATTACACTAACCAGGGACCATGTTGTTTGCTTGTGCTATTATTGCTCTCATTGTTGTGCTTTTCAGCCACTGGGTATACAGGTGGAGAAACCCCAAGTGTAACGGGGTATTACCGCCAGGCTCGATGGGATTACCAATTATAGGAGAAACAATTGAGTACTTCACCCCTTATGCATCGGATGATGTTCCACCATTCGTACAAAGAAGAGCGGCTAGGTATGTCTAACCCTTTTTTTTTCCGTCTCCTATTTTTCTTCTTACCCTTCTCATTTCTAACTATTCGATACAAAATTCGAATCTTAAATTAGATTGCGGAGAAAACTCTAATACCTTCTCCTAATCATCAGGCCATCCTCAATACTCCATTGGTTATCTAACCACTTTTTAACCAGCTATCACATATATATATTTTAATAATATGACAGCAGTAATAGTTAAGAATATTTTATCTTAACTAGCTTTTCTTTGTTTCCTTTTTTCCCTCTTTGGGAAATTTCAGGTACGGACCAATTTTTCGCACGAGTATAGTTGGGCAGCCAGTCGTTGTATCAACTGATGCTGACTTCAACTTCCGCGTCTTCCAGCAAGAAGGTAATGCTTTCCAAATTTGGTATACTGAGAGTCTCTTCCAGATAATTGGGAAACAAAGTGTACTTGCCCATCATGGAGGCTTCCACAAGTACCTCAAGAGCTTAACGTTCAAGCTTGTTAGCCCCGAAGCCTTAAGAGAGAAGCTAATATATGAAATGGATGCCAGCACTCAAGAATCTCTAAGTTCTTGGAGTAAACTTGGAAAATTAGATGCTAAAGATGGAACATCAGAGGTAAATTAATCAGCATGCTACTATTTGATTATATTAATCAGGATGAATTCGGACTGTACGTACAGAGCATTGCATGAAAAGTAGTAATGAACAATCTCATTTTCTCCAGTTGGTATTTAAATATGCTGCCAAGAAGATGCTTGGCTATGAAGAAAGCAAGGATCAGCAAAAATTGAGAGACAGTTATAAGGCATTCATGGATGGCTTGATCTCATTTCCTCTCAACATCCCTGGAACACCGTTCCATGCTTGCTTACAAGTAATCAATTGTTATTGTTGTTGTTCGTCATTTGGAATTCTTTTTATATTGAAAGATCGATGTTCACTATACCAACAAGAAAAAAAAAACATATTCATTATCAATATATGACTACGTAAAATATATATGCTTTCATAAATGCCGTATCAGATTGAACGAACTATATGGTTTTCATTTTCCAGGGACGTAAGAAAGCAATGAAGGTCATCAAGGACATCTTTGAGAGGAAGCGCTCGGGCAATGACACTTCGAAAGACTTTGTGGACCATTTACTTGAGCAAATAAAGAAAGAAGACACTTTTTTGAACGAAGAAATTGCGAGGGACCTGGTATTTTTGTTTCTATTTGCTGCCCATGAAACGACTTCAACAGCTTTGACTGTGGCCTTGAGGTATCTAGATGGCCATCCACGTGTTATGGCTGAACTAAAGGTCCGTGACTTTCCGAAACAATTTCTCCCGTTGTCATCTGTATTTACCCTTTAATTCTCCAATTCTTCTGCAAGTTCAATATTTAAATGATTAATATTCTATATATACCGATAGTGTGCATTGTTTTAAATATGAAAGATTACTTCATATTTAAATAGTCATTCGTTTTTGTAGAGAGAGCATGAAAATATTCTTAAAATGCGAGAAACGGAAGGTTCTGCTGTTTCTTGGAAAGAGTACAAGTCTATGACTTTCACACACATGGTACGCTCCAATTAACCAGACATTTCATTGTATCTATCATTTGAATCATATAGTGAGCTAGACCATTTACATCTTAAGTTTTGTTGTCTACTGTAGGTTATAAATGAAACACTTAGGCTTGCAAATATTACTCCTGGGATTTTGCGCAAAGTTGTCAAGGAAGTTGAAGTAAAAGGTACGCTTCAATATGTCATTTGGCATCTTCTTGAAAATCATTTGTCACACTTTCTTTATTTTGGACCAGTGATACCTTTCTCCTGCACAAAAAAGGAAAAAAAAAAAAGAAGAAAGAAAAACTCTCTTTAATAACTACTTGGGTTGGGCATTTTTTCATGGGAGTAAAAATATAGAAAATAAATGATTTGTTTCCTTGGTTCCTCTTTTCCACCATTATAACTTCCAGTTTTGACTAATAAGTGCGAATGATTTGCAGGGTATACAATTCCTGCTGGCTGGACGGTAATGGTTTGTCCATCATGTGTTCATTTGGATCCTAATGTATATGCAAACCCCCATGAATTTAACCCATGGCGATGGGAGGTAATTTGATCATCGACATATTTGAGCAATATATGCACACAAGAAAGATAAACTTACAAAACAAAAGTTAAACAAAATCAAGTAAAAATGATTTAGGGTTTTTCTGCTGTTTTTTCAATCAAAAGGGCAAAGAATTACACATGGGATCAAAAAATTTCATGGCATTTGCTGGTGGTACGAGGCTTTGCGTTGGTGCTGACTATGCAAAGGTGCAGATGTCAATTTTTCTGCATTACTTGGTCACAAAATACACGTAAGGATTTCCAAATCACAATTCCCACCATCTTCGCTTAAATACATATAGAAGAAGCTAATTCCTATATATTATAAATTGATGTCCACTTAACTTCTTCGATTTTTCAAGAAAGACTGTCTAATTTGAATTTTCAGCTGGAGAGTTACCAACGGAGCAGAGAGAATCCGGACACCTACTGGTATTCGTTACCCCAAGGGATTGCACATGGAGATTTCAGAGAACAAATAGATTTTAAGCTGGGCGCGTACGAATAAAGCCTGTACTTTCAGAAGCGTATTTATGATGCAGTAATTTACCGTCATATTGTAATTTACCTTACTTTGCAATATTGTAAGTGCCTAATAAACAACATTTTACGTGGTGTCTTTCTTGACACTATTGTAATTGTTGAAGATGTTATAATAGTTGCAGTTTGAGCTTCGACTAATTGTTTTTCTTCACCAAAATCGATGCAATGATCTTATTTATGAGGACAAATCAAGCCAAGAAACAATACATGTATATGTATGCAGTAAATATTGCTCCTTACATCTTATAAAGTTTGTCGCAGTTCAAGAATTACAATTTTTATTAATAGTGGATAGAATTTGAAACTTGATGTGTAGTTTCTAACTCATAAAGAATTGTGGGGCTATGATATTTGTTCAATCCTAGGTTTTGTGGAAAATCTTAGATATTTGAAAGTTTTACCAAATCTTAGATTGTTGTGATTTTAATTACTTGATAACTGTTACATACTACAAAAAAGTAGTTGTTTTACTTTCTTGATAATAGTACGTGGACTCAAAAAAAAAAAAACATGCATTGAACTTTTACGGAGTGCCTGAGGAGTAAATGACTAAATGAAGAAATTAAATAGAAATATATCAACTAATTTATATAAATGACAAATAATTTAGAACCATCCAACAAAGAAAGTATGCAATATCAATGGGATGGAGGGGATTTTGGCTTGACCCTCTTTATCATGGAATTGTATGGTATTGGCCTTCCCACTGTAGGAACGTCAATCTGGTGCCATTCAACCACGACACGTAGCTTAATTCTGGAGTTTTTTTTAGATTTTTTTAAAATTAGAATAAATTAGATTATACAAATATCATTATCGTAAAAAAAATTGATGCACAACGGGTGCAGGTGAAATTACTGATGCATCTATTTTTTTAACAGAAAAACATGATTGAGCTCAAAATCACCAAAATCTAACTATTTTTTTGCCTGTATTAACAACATGCTTTCAAGTCTCCATCAAAGAACTTTCAAGCTGTACAGAAGTAATTGACATAAAAAAATAAAAGAATAAACATAAACTCTTGGGCCACACCTCATAATTTGGTGGACACGAAGTGGGGGATGGTCATAATTTACCACACTACAATTGGCCCCTTTAGTAGATCTAATCCAGGATGACAAATTACGAAAACAACTTGCATTTTGGACTCCTCCGAATGAGTGTGAGAGTCTTTTATAGGAATGGCATATGTGAAAGTATAGAAGTGAAATTAAGTTTAGGTAATCGATTAGAAATGGAACATATGTGTAAGCCCGTAGGGGTTCATTGGGGCGGGAGCGGGGAGGGGGGGAATTTTTTCGCCCCGTTTCTAGGGTATACTCCCCCGACCCAACCCCACCCCGCCACCTGTTTGAAAAAAAAAAAAAAAAAATATATATATATATATATATATATATATATATATATGTACATAATTATATATATATAATGATATTATCAATTATACTACTAATTATACATGTCTATTAATACAAATTATTAATTATTTATACTAAATTTATTAATACATTTATGTTAAATTCCTAACTATACTTAATACAATAACACTTTTTTTTCTAAAAAAAAATACAATAATAATTTAGTGATTGTATTTGTATCAAAAGTGAAAACTTGATTATTTTAGTTATATTTGTTTTATCATATTAGATTGTATTCAAATAACCTTTGTTTAATTATTTTTATGAGTTTCAATTGTGAAGTTACAATGAATAATAATTTGGTGATATGTTGATATTTTAGTACTTGATTATTTGCTCAAATTTAATTATAATAAAATTTTTTTAACCCCATGGGTGCCCCGGCAGGAGAAGCGGGGCAGGGCGGGGGACGGGGTGGGGCGGGGGGAATTAAAATGCAACGGGGCGGGGGTTGGGGGAGGTGTCCCCTACTCTTGTGACACGTAATGTGAGGAACGTCTCATGCAAAATTGTTTTATTCTATTCTTGTATGTTTAGGTACCTTGACAAAATTATTTTATTCGTGCATGTAAGTCTATTCTTTGTTGCGAATATTTTCTCACCAATTTTTGTGGCTTCACCTGTCTATTTCTTAGATTTTCCTCGACCACTTGATCAGCATATACTTTATGAAAACTCTTTTGGGCTGATTATTTATTTAATACCACAAATGATCATCCATTTCAAGAAATGAAGCACTATCATCTAGGCATGGAGATATGTTTCTTTTCGTCATTCTTTCTCGCTTGACTTTTCCTGAATTTTTCCTTGTAGTTTTAGTTTCAAATTTTTGCTTCAAAGGAAAAAATATGAGCAACAATTAAGAACATATTACAATAATCAAAAGATCTAACTAAGGGTCTGTTTGATAATATAAAAAAGTGCTGAATCTGAATTTTTTCAGACATTCAGATGTTTTGAGTGTTTGATAAATGAAAATCCATTTGCTGAACTTGTTAAGTAGTGTTGAACTTGTGTGTATTTTTTTCAGCATAAGAATCCTAACTGAATGCTTAATTCTAATAAGAATTAATAGAATTACTTCAATTTCCTTATCTTATCTTCCAAATCTACCCTTGTTTGTTAATTATGTTTAAAATTCTTATCTAATTAAACAATCTAATATTCTCTATCTAATGATTTTCTATTTCTTTTTTTTCCCTTTTGAATGATTTTCACATCTTCTCCATACTCCTCATATAATATATTTCATCTTTTATATTAATTTGATTTTAAAATATATATTATCATTTTCATACCTAACATTTTTAGCTAATTAAATCATAGGTTCTATTTCTTTTTTGGATGAAAAAATATAAGGGCAAATTTGTCAAATTTAACTTATCAAGCATTCAGTTATAAATGTTTATCAAACAGTATAAATAGGTTTAACATTAAAATTCAGACATTCATATATTTCTTTTCAGTGCTTAAAATTCAGCAAATTAATTGTTTCAGTATTCAGATTTCAGAATTCAAACATTAGAATTCAGATTCAGTTTTATCAAACGGAACTTAAGTGAACTAAAAAGCGGCAAATTGTAATGACTAAATTACCCAAAAATTGATAAACAAATTAAAAAAGACTTTTGTTAGTAAAGAAGAGAGAGAAAGGCCAAATCAGAAGTCCATTCTTTCACTATTTCAACCGGGAGCGTCAAATTTGGCTTCCAAAAAGCATAGACGTATTCCCTTTGACTAAAATGAATAAGATATTCAGGTTCCTGATTCTCTCTCTCTCTCTCTCGCTTTTTTTTTCTGCTAATCTTCTCGAACTATGACAATATAATTTGATAAGCTTTGAGGGTCGCTAAGACATATCTATAACACGTAATTATTACCAAAAATAGTGGCAGAGAGCTAATCCACATTCAAATATATCCTCACTTGCAGCTTAATTGATTAATTACTTTGTAATTAAACCTCTGCAACTTTTTGTTCCTAACTTTAATGTCAATTCAACTTTTTGTTACTACTACAAGTCTACAAGTCAATAAGAAACAACAGCATGAGTCAGCGACAGAAGAATTTTAAGAATTATTTATTATACACAAAAAAATACTTTTCAGAGGAAGAAAATATCTAGTTGCAGGTCTCCTCTGCAAGACTAGTCAAACTGCTCTTTCACTCCGACAACGACGTCGCGGCACGGCTGTTTGTCTATAATTCAACAGGCATTGCCCTCCGATGACATTCAACGAATTAAAGAAAGCAATGAAGGTCATCCACGACATCTTTGAGAAGAAGCGCTCAGGCAATGATGGAGCTACGAATGACTATGACTTTGCGGACCATTTACTTGAGCAAATAAAGAAAGAAGACACTTTTTTGAATGAGGAAATTGCGAGGGACCTGGTATTTTTGTTTCTATTTGCTGCCCATGAAACGACTTCAACTGCTTTGACTGTGGCCTTGAGGTATCTAGATGGCCATCCACGTGTTATGGCTGAACTAAAGGTCCATGACTTTCCGAAACAATTTCTCCCGTTGTTATCTGTATTTACTCTTTAATTCTCCAATTCTTGTGCAAGTTGAATACTTAAATGATTAATATTTTATATTTACTGACGGTATACATTGTTATGATTAGATGTTTACACTAACAAAATATGAAATATTACTTCATATTTAAATAGTCATTCATTTTTGTAGAGAGAACATGAAAATATTCTTAAAATGCGAGAAACAGAAGGTTCTAGTATTTCATGGAAGGAGTACAAGTCTATGACTTTCACACACACGTGGTACGTTCCAATTAACCAGACATTTCATTGTATCTATCATTTGAATCATATAGTGAGCTAGACCATTTACATCTTAAGTTTTGTTGTCTACTGTAGGTTATAAATGAAACAGTTAGGCTTGCAAATATTGCCCCTGGGATTTTGCGCAAAGTTGTCAAGGAAGTTGAAGTAAAAGGTATACTTCAATCTGTCACTTGGCATCTTCTTGAAAATCATTTGTCACACTTTCTTTATTTGGACCGGTGATGCCTTTCTCCTGCAGGAAAAAGAAAAAAGAAAAACTCTCTTTAGTAACTACTTGGAAAATATAGAAAATAAATGATTTGTTTCCTTTGTTCTTCTTTTCCTCCATTATAACTTCCAGTTTTGACTAATAAGTGCGAATGATTTGCAGGGTATACAATTCCTGCTGGCTGGACGGTAATGGTTTGTCCATCATCTGTTCATTTGGATCCTAATGTATATGAAAACCCACATGAATTTGACCCATGGCGATGGGAGGTAATTCGATCATCGACAGATTTGTGTAATATATGCACACAAGAAAGATAAACTTACAAAACAAAAGTTAAACAAAATCAAGTAAAAATGATTCAGGGTTTTTCTGCTGTTTTTTCAATCAAAAGGGCAAAGAATTACACGCGGGATCAAAAAATTTCATGGCATTTGCTGGTGGTACGAGGCTTTGCGTTGGTGCTGACTATGCAAAGGTGCAGATGTCAATTTTTCTGCATTACTTGGTCACAAAATACACGTAAGGATTTCCAAGTCACAATTCTCACCGTCTTCACTTAAATACAGATAGAAGAAGCTAATTCCTATATAGTATAAATTAATGTCCACTTAACTTCTTCGGTTTTTTAATATGCATGATTGCAAGAAGAAAGTGATAACTGATAAAAAAGCTTGTCTAATTTGAATTTTCAGCTGGAGAGTAGAGCTGCAAACGAACCGAGTCGAGTTGAGTTTTGGACTTATCGAGCCGAGCTCGGCTTAAAAATGGGTGAGTTCGAGTTCGAGCTCGAGCTCAACGAGCCTATAAGATTTGAGCTCGAGCTCGACTCGACTAAAAAAAGCTAAGCTCGAGCTCGACTCGTTAAGGCTCGCGAGTTGATGCTCGATTTTTGGCTCGCGAGCAGCTTGATTTGTGAGCTTGAATTTTTGACTCGTTAACGGCTCGTTTGCTCGAATTTTGGGAATTAATGTAACAAAAAAATTCATTTTATCAACTAATTCCTAACCAAATTATGAGCATAATCATAGCTTACAATTCATGCCTATAATTGACCATAATTTTTCACATTATCATAATCAAAAAAGGCCTACAAATTTTTCACTAAATACAATCATAAATTTAGAAATACATGCCATATAAGTCTAGAATTTAAATGCCCAACACTTCATACAAGTTCAACATTCTCGGTCACAAAATTTAATATCAGATAATAAGTAAATAACAACCAAAAGCAGACCAAGAACTTCTTACTACAGAAACTTATTGAATTACAAATTACAAACTAAGCACAGTCATTGAAGTCATTGAAGTCACGAACTTCTTCTCTTCTTAGAAATGTCAGAGGATTCATAGTCCCAGCTCCAACCTGCTCAATACGTCCAAAAATAAATAAGTGCCAATCAAGGAGCTATACAAAAACATCACTAGCATTCATTGGTTGCTCTTTCAGACCTGTACTCACTGAACATATAACTAAACTAATCAAGGGGACTGAATCTAGTACCTAGTTGAATGAGGAAAATCTACTCTGTAAGTTAACTAGACAACTTAAAGCAAGTATTTTACTCAAAGAGGGGAGGAAAACCTGAGCATCAAAATTGTAAACAATCCACAGCAACTGGACAACTGTCTTATAATTTAGAGGAGAAATTCATTCACATTCGAGTGCAAACTAGTCAGTCATATCAGCAGCTTATATTGATCATCCTAATTTTGTAGAAGCCACAGTTAAAATTTGGACAGGCCACCAAGACTAACAAGCGCAATTCTCGAAAAAATTCATTTTGTTTAAGCAAATCTCCATTGAAAAAAATTGACCATCTGCGACATGAATTAGATCAGACTAAGAATCCAAACGAGCACCATGCACACTCAATACTAACACCATTTCTATCCTAACAAGGATATAAACAGCAATAACTTGACCAATCCACAGCACCTGATAACCAAATGCACATTCAGCAATAACTTAGCCAAAACACGCCTTTTTGCTGAGAAAATTTTCTTTTACTTCTAATTGCATGCTTCTGCAAATACTCAACTAAGCCAGACACGTATAGAACTCAAAAGAAAATTTGACAAGTAGCACAAACTGGAAGCTTACAATCTTGGTACTGAAAATGTAGGTGGAAAAACGCACCTACAGCCAATAATGCACCAATAAGCTGCAGCTGCTGCACAGCCAAGAAATCAGGCAAATAACTTCCATTTTAGTTGCAATGAAACCAGCCACCAAATAAATCATATACACATATAAAGAAACCAGCAGCCAAAAAACTGAGAATATAGATTACCTAAAACATGAAAAAGTTCAAGGAATAGGCAATGAAATCTCTTGTGCTGACTTCATTTTCTGCATAGTAAACAAAAATAATAAAGACCAAGATTAAGCCAACTATAAAACATATTGTAATAGATGAAAAACGTAATTTGTAACATAATTACCTTATCCCTTTTTTTCACCCCGTGTAGCCTACGACACCAATCCCCAACATACATCAACATCTCTACAGTTTCTGGAGCTAAAGAAGCACGGTAGGAGTCAAGCACTCTAGTTCCAGCACTAAATGTCGCTTCCGAAGCTACGGTGCTAATAGGAATGGCTAAAATATCTGCAGCTATCTTAGGCAAAATCTTGTATTTTGTTGTGCTTTTCCACCATTTCAAAGCATCTAAGTTGACAATATCCAGGCTCGACTTCTCCGTAGCACTGAGAAGGCCATCTTCAAAGTAGATACCTAGCTCATTTTTCTCTGGTTGAACGGGTTCCACAGTAGCAATGTGAGATAGAAATTCACACATTCCAGTAACATGTGTCATTGTAGAGGATGAACTATTGCTACTCTTGCTACCTGGTTCATTTGTCACTACTTGAGAGCTTCCTCCAGAATCTTTTGAACTTGAAACATGCATCTCCACATACTCGGCATATAAATCATACAAAGCTTGCCGGACTTTATTTATATTCGTTTGCACTTAATGTGAAGGATATATCAGTGGAAAGAAGTAGTTGATAACTCGCATCTTGAGCCTAGGATCCAAGATGGCTGCTATGGACATCATTAGGTCACACTCACCCCAATACTTGTCAAATTTCATCTTCATCTTCCAAACCATTGCTTGAATAAAGCTGTCTTCATCATTTGCTTTGCGATCTAGAAGCGTTTTTATCCGACAAACTTCATTTAAATATAAATTAGCTGTCGGATAATCACTCCCAGATATTATATGAGTCGCATTTCAAAAAACTCCTAAAATACTGCACACCTTTTTTACCTTTTCCTAATCTTCTGTGGAAGGACAGAAAGTATAGCTTGGCTCTCTGTCTTTGAATCTCGAAAACACCTCATTGAACATGAGAGCACAAGCTAGCATCTCATAGGTCGAATTCCACCTTGTTTTGCAGTCATAAATCAGCACTCTTTCAGGCAATCGTAGCTGGTGTACAATTTCACCAAAGATCAATCGTCTCCCTTCAGTTTTGTTTACAAACTCTACACTTGCCCTTATGTCATGACTTATTTCTTCAATTTCACTAAGGCCATCTTGAACCATCAGGTTAAGTATGTGAGCACAACATCTCACATGGAATAACTTTCCTTTGGCCAACAAGCACTTGTTTCTCGAGAAGGTGTCCTTCAAACATCGTAGTGCGGTGTCATTATTTGACACGTTATCAACTGACACTGTATAAATTTTGCTTTCAATGCCCCAATCCAACATGCATTTGTAAATAGCATCTGCAATGCCAATGCCCGGACGTGGAGGGGGAACATGCACAAAGTTGAGAACCCGTTTTTGTAATCTCCACTGGCTGTCAATCCAATGTCCAGTTATAACCATGTATTCAATTTTTTGGTTCTTGGACTTCCAAAGGTCTGTGGTCAAGCTGATTTTCTTGACTTTACTTAACAAATGCTTCAATTTCTGCTTTTCTCTCTCATACACAGAAAGACAATCTTTCTTGTTGGTAGTCCGACTGATTTTTTGCCATTCAGGCATCCCCTTTTTCATCATTAAGTTGAAGCCATCTTCCTTCACAATTGAAAAGGGATGCTCATGCATAAGCACCCACTCAGCTGCGCTTTGTCTCATGGCAGCCATGTCAAACTTGCCAGTATGAAGGAGGGAATGAGCATTTGAGCTAGAATCAGTGGCTGGAAAATTGAGTTTTTGTTGGTGTGCCTCTATTATTTTGAGCTTCTCCAATCGTTTTGGACAATTTTTCCGATGCCTTAATAAACTTGAAGTTGTACCGATCTTCGTCTTTTTGAATCTAGACTGGCAATGCTTACACTCTGAGTAAATTTTCTTCTGAGGCCCAACTTCCACATCTTCGAAATCATCCCATGCTTCAGATTTTCTGGCTCTCTTTTTCTTATTAAAAGCGTCTAAAGTATCACCTTCAATAGCATCTTGGTTTGATCTTTGAACAGGTGCTTGTGTATCACCTTCTAATTGCTCCTCTTCGCTTCCTAATTCTTCATCGCCAAGAGAGTATTCCAACTCTTTCTCGTTGTCATTTCCACCCTCTGTATCAATGATATTCATAGGACTAGTGGAATTTGCACCAGTCCTACCTAGCTGTGAAGACACATCTTCGGCAAACTTATCCATATTATGATCCAACTATGAACAAAGGAAAATAACAAAACATGTTTAGACAGCCATCTTTTACTCTCAAACATTCAATGCTATAAAACACATAGAATTAACAAAAAAAATAGCACTTAACCAGCCCCAAAAAAATAGCACTTAACTGCAAAAAAAAAAGCGCTCTAGTTCCAGCACTTAACATTGATCAACAATGCTAACATTTTAGCACAATAATAACATTTCAGATACATTGTGAGCTCAAGAGGTTCACCCAATAACAATGCCAAGTTTTATTTCCCTGAAGTTTACTAGAGACACATTCACGGTAAACGGCAGCAAGCCCCTGCTTTTTCATCAGGTTATACTACCGACGAGTCCAATGAAAAACCCCAGAAAAACCTACAGGACCAATAAATAACTAAAAAAAATACATACAGAGCAGTTTACAAACAGGGGTTTATATGTGAGATACAAACCTACAGCTGGTTATGTTAGTATACATATGTTGTGAGATACAAAATAATGATCTGAAGAAGTATACGTAGGTTTCCCTGGTAAAGATTTTGTATCTTCATTGCATATGGAATTTTACCCATTCAAGGATACTTGAGAGCTAATTGAGGTGCAGAAGTTTCGCAAAACAAATTTTAAAAGAGCAGCAGGCCTCAAAGATCTTGGTGGATAGAAAATCATCAGGTGGGTAGATAAATTACCCATCAAGAGTAGCAAATATCTATTTCTCACATCACAGGCCCTTCTCTTTCAATTTTTGAAAAATTGCCGAAACATTCCACTCAGATGCATCATGTCATCTGTTCAGTGCTAATACGGATTTCAAAACGAGAAAGTTAAAAAAATGCTGCTTAACATGCATAAAAACCATTAATTATGTAGATTGGCTGGGCAGGAGATGAGCAACAGGTGATGCTGGTGCTGTGGGGTCAGAAGTAGTTGGTGGTTTTTTATCATTCTTACGGAGAATGATAAATGGGAATCCGTTTGATTTTTTCATCACTCCCATGATCACCAGTTCACCACCACTACCCCAACTGGGCTAAAATCTTTGCCACAGCAAGACATAGTAGCAAATCAATTTAAGTAGGAAAAGATAGTTTTTACATGTTATTTTCCAAAACTATATATCAAAAGATAAGAAAATCAGTAGATAAAAAATTATAAAAAAAATTGTATCCTTGTCACCAAAAAATCCTAAAAGCATAGGAGGAATGATTCGGAGCTAAAGGTAGACAACACACGCAGGTGTGCAAAAAAAAGAAAAAAGCAATAATTTGAGCTCAAAAATGTTATTTCAGCATCTACTCCAGCTAAAATACCAGTTAAATTAACTAGAGGGAAGCAACAAACTTCAGACAAGAGAAAGGAAGACGAAGGGAAAGGAACGCCGAACGGCCCGAACCAACCTTAAATTGGAAATCAAATTGAGGGCTTTAAGATGCGCCATGGAGGAAGAAAGATGGTTAGCAGTCCTTAAGACGCACTGTGGAGGAAGCCAAGCCTCTGTCCGAATACAGCTGAGCCAACGACGAAGGCGAGTTGCAGTCGAATTGCTTCGAGAGGAAGAAGGTTTCTCTCGAATGAAGTCGAATTGCAGTCGAATGAGGCCTGAAGGGTAGCAGTGGCGGTGCCGCGGTGGTGGCTGTGGTCAGCGTGGTGCACTCGTGGGTGGTGGCGGCGATGGCTAGGGCTTGAGAAGATGTGAAGGAAAGAAGGAAAGACCAAACAGAGATGCGGTAGAGGAGAAGTAATAAGAAATGGAATTGGGGAAAGTAATTTTTGCTATGAGCGAGCCTCCGTCTGATACTCAAAGTCGAATTCCATCCCAATTCCCATGTTATAACTTAGTAATTAACTATATAAATAAGGGTATTTTTGTAATTTCACAAAACTCGTCGAGCGGCTCGACGAGGTAACGAGCCTAATAGAGGATGGCTCGAGTTCGACTCGATTTATAAACGAGCCGCTCGAGCTCGAATTTGACCGAACTCGACTCGAGCTTTGACTTGAGCCGCTCGCGAGCGGCTCGAATCGTTTGCAGCCCTACTGGAGAGTTACCAACGGAGCAGAGAGAATTCGGACACCTACTGGTATTTGTTTCCCCAGGGGATTGAATATTGAGATTTCAGAGAACAAATAGATTTTAAGCCGGGCATGCACGAATAAAGCTTGTACTTTCGGAAGCGTATTTATGATGCAGTAATTTACTGTCATATTGTAATTTTACCTTCCAGTTGAGTTTCACTACATTGTAATATTGTAAGTGTCCTAATAAACAACATTTTAAGTGGTGTCTTTCTTGACACTATTGTAATTGTTGAAGATGTTATAATAGTTGCGGTTTGAGCTTTGACTAATTGTTTTTCTTCACCAAAATCAATACAATGATCTTATTTATGAGGACAAATCAAGCCAAGAAACAATACATGTATATGTATGCAGTAAGTATTGCTCCTTCCATCTTATAAAGTTTGCCGCACTTGAAGAATTGCAATTTTTATTAATAGTGGATAGAATTTGAATCTTCATTTGTAGTTTCTAGCTCATAAAGAATTGTGGGGCCTTGATATTTGTTTAATCCTAGGTTTTGTTGAAAATCTTAGATATTTGAAAGTTTTACCAAATCTTAGATTGTTGTTGTGGTCTTAATTACTTGATAACTGCTACATACTACAACAGTTGTTGTTTTACTTTCTTGATAATAGTATGTGGACTCAAAAAAAAAAAATACATGCTTTGAACTTTTACGGACTGTCTAAGGAGTAGATGACTAAATGGAGAAATTAAATCGAAATGTATCAACTAATTTATATAAATGACAAATAATTTGGAACAATCCAACAAAGAAAATATGGCAATATCAATGGGATGGAGGGGGAATTTTTGTGGCCTGACCCTATTTATCATGGAATTGTATACGGTAAGAATGGTATCGGCCTTCCCACCGTAGGAATGTCAATCTGGTGCCATTTAAGCACAACACGTAGCTTAATTCTGGCAGGCACCAGACAACTAACAAAGCGCATCAGTTAAGACCATGCACGTGTTGCTCCCAAAACTCTAACGTGGTTTTTCTTCTCACTTCCCCACAGCCACAAACACCAAAGCAAACTCCGGCAAGTTCATGCACAGAAGGTGCGCCTTTGCCTCAGCAGTTAACAAAAAAAAACTAAATCCATCTTTTACTTGTTGGTGGAGATACTGGCCCTTAATATATAATCTCTTTAGATTTCTCTTTCCTCTAAATTAGGATAAATTAAATTATAAAAATATTATTGCCGTAAAAAAAATTGATGTACAACGGGTGCGGGTGAAATTACTGATGCATCTATGTTTTAAAAAACATGAATGACCTCAAAATCACCAAAATCTAACTATTTTTTGCCTGTATTAAGAACATGCTTCCAAGTCTCCATCAAAGAACTTTCAAGCTCTACAGAAGTAATTGACATAAAAAAAATAAAAGAATAAAAATAAACTCTTGGGCCACACCTCATAATTTGGTGGACACGAAGTGGGGGATGGTCATAATTTACCACACTACAATTGGCCCCTTTAATAGATCTAATCCAGGATGACAAATTACAAAAACAACTTGCATTTTGGACTTCTCTGAATGAGTGTAAGAGTCTTTTATAGGAATAGCATCTGTGAAAGTATAGAAGTGAAGTTAAGTTTAAGTAATCGATTAGAAGTTGAACATATGTGCTTTACAGCTGAAAATAAAATATGGTTAATTCATAACTTGCTTGTGGCTAAAAGATCTCCCATAGTTTATGGAAATAATTTCATGTTTTTATGGAACTAACCCAAAATTTTCTAGATTATTTATATAAGGTGTTAAAATATTTTAATAAAATTGTTAAATTCTCAATTAGATGTGTAAGTTATAAGGAGAATAAATTGGTGAATATTTTTGAAATTTATTGGTGTTTGAATGATTTTTGACTAAAGATTTATTATATAAAATTATGGCTTTTCAATTACAATAAATTTTGTAACCTACAATTCAAATTAGAATGTGTCTTGAATAGCCAATAATTTTCAGCATCTACTTAGCATATTATTAGTTTAGGTTATGTTTGGCTAATTTTTCTTGATCTATAAATATGCGTTGTTGAGATAGAAAGAGATGCTATAATAACTTATGTTTTTTGAGCCACAATTCATGAGAGAAAATATCTACTCTTTTGTTATTTTCTATCTCATAGACTGGCAAAAAAAAAAAGTGTTTGTAGAGTAATACTCTCTCAGTTGTACAGACTAATGAGAGTAACAGTAAGTGTCGTTAGACTGTTGTATCCTGGGAGTGACAAGCCGAAGATTCTACGACACCGAAATTGATTCTTTTGCAGAGATTTGAATCATCTTAAAGAAAGCGAAATATCCTTACCTCAACCTATTACATTTGTGCATTATTATATTATTATTTTGACTATTTTATTATAGTTAATTTTATTATTGTTATAATAATTATTATTATTATTATAACCATAGTTAATTTTTCTATTTGACATTTGTCTAATTGTTCTAGCAGAGCAACAATTTTAAAGTGATTCAGAACAAGATGGAGTTCAACTTACAAGTCACTTGACTTGAGTAGCCTACCTATGGACGAAAAATGAGAAGATCTCAACTAATGAAACATGTTAACAATAAAAGAATGCTTATGAAGAAAAATTTAAGAAAAAGGGAAGTTGTTGAATTCCATTACTAGTATTATAATGACTTTTATAGTTTCTATGAAACTTCTTGTCCTACTACCAAAAGTCTTGGAAGGCTTAATAGGAAAATATGGCACTAGAGAAGTAGATCCGAAAGAGTTCAAATTGCTGAACAATTACAACTTGTTGCTGCACTAGACAAGTTGCTACCATGCATTTTGAAAGAAATTTTTAAAGGTGCCTTCTTAACAAGTAAAAGTAAACTTCCAGTGGGTATGATTAATTGGGTCATTTACTCTAATCGCAATAGATATATACTCCATTGCATGTTATAAAGTTGTGACAAATAGTGGGGTTTCATAGTAATTTCTATGCTAATATGCAAAGAACTTGATCTTTGAATGTGATGTGTGTTTAGTTGTGTATCATTAATGCACTAAAATAGTGGGGGTTTTTTTTCTTTTGCTAAAAATTAATGCAAAGAATCTGATATATTATTGAAGATTCTCAATAATATGGATTTTTATTGTGAATAACGAAAAAAAAGAATGTGTAGAATTTCATGTGGTACCATGTTATTTTTGCAACTTGTGAGTATGAATTTTAAAGTTGCAATTAAGTGCAATGTTAAATGACATTGAGTATAATGGTTTTGGATTTCTTAATTCTTTCTTTGAATTTGTGCAAATGGATATACACTCGAAAGTGTGAATATAATGTCAATACACTTGAAGTAAGTATTTCATATTCTTGCAGAAAGTAGTTCTATGGAAATTCCATTGAGATAGCAAAAATGGTTCCAAGTAGGTCTATGGAATTTACTGCTTGAAGGTTGGAATTGGCCCCATTTGAAGAGTAGAATCGTCAAATTTTCATCTTCCAACTTCTATTCCAATTCCAACACCTTTGTAGATGATCTCAGGTTCTTTGTTCTTTGGACTAGAATATCTGTGTGAGCCCTAATGCAACGCATGAGAATGCCCAACTCTGGTTAATTTACAACTTTAGCAAATATGTAATCAAGCAATTGGATACTGATATGCAGATAAAATTCTCAATTAAATAACTTTTATTGCTTAAATAAACTTTTTAAAGCTATTATAATTCAATACACCGAATTCATAGGCCATATCTACTCTATTGAACTAAATACCCCAAATTCATACTAGCATCATCGTCTTGCAGTGCATAAAAGAAACATTAGGCTGCAAATTCCTGAGCCACAAAATTTTGATCAGATTTCCATAGGGCCAAAGAGTTTCACTCTAAGTAACAAAGTCAAACCTTTATTCCTTTGTATAATGCTTGTGATGTGCAGGATCAGATACAAGAATGGTCATACTCAGACTAAACATACTCCTAACAATGGTGAACTTTATTACTCCAACGCCATTGTTTCTGGGACCAGGAACAAGATTAAGCAAGCATGTGCTATGCACTGACCCTTCCTACCATTCGTATGCTGCAATGGAGTTGATCTCGTCTATAAATCTGTTCAAAGCACCTTCATACCTGCTGTTAATCACCATTAGCACATGAGTAACATTTGAAAATTTTGCAAATGAAGTAAAATTTTGTTTAGAAAATCTCTCATATTCTCGCTGTATCAAACCAGAAAGTTGAAGCTAAGTGAGCCTCAACCAAGTACAGTTCATTGGAAAAGAAGTCAAAATTCTGACTCAGTAAAGATTAACTTATGTATCTTTGTGGATTAAAGATTAATGAATAAGAAGAAAGACTAATATCTTTCAGGTGTAAAACTCAAAAGACACTAAATAATCATAAACTTAAGCACAGTCTTTTAAAATGGCAAAGAAAAATATGTACAACAATCAAAATTTTCTCGTAATAAAAAATGACAAAAGAACTAATAAATTAAACTCCTAGACATAAGGTTCCAAGGTGAACAAGGTTTTTTCTTCTAAACCCTTGCCTATTGCCCAAAAACTTCAGATTACATGTGAATGTTTACACAATCTCGACAATTGCATTGGGAGGCCAATAGGGAGATTATACGGTTATCTAAAAGTATTGGAACCCATAAAAGTACATCATGTGGACATGGCTCTGAGTTTCTTCGGCTCTGGTACCACAGACCTAGATGTTACGCAAATAAATTACTATAAAAAT